TTTTGTATGTAATTCTGTCCATGACAGGTTTATTTTAGGACAGTGGAACTTATAGAAGAGCCTATAAAAGGGTCTCCCGGTCTAAGTTTCTACTTCAAAATTAATGGATTTCCCATATTTCTGAAAGGCTCCAACTGGATCCCAGCAGATGCCTTCCAGGATCGAGTGACCTCTGACGTGTAAGTTATTGTCTTGGTTTCTTGTTCCTTTTTATTAACAGTTCCACAAAGGTTAAGAGTGTGTACACTGTCCTGGTGACGGACGGGTACTCTAGAAGCCCTGACTTCAGCATTCTATATCTATGCATCCATAGAACAAAAAGCACTTGTACCCCCTAAATCTATGGACATTTAAAAAGTGTGGGGAAAAAGTTACTTGGTTTTACTTTCTTTAGTCCCAGGAAAAGAGGTGGTATAGAAGTCTAGGTGACAGAAACTTTACAATAGACAGAATTATAAAACCATATATTCGCTTCTTGGAAAAATTGCATCACTGAAGCCATCCAAGTTTTAGAAAACTATTATATATTTACTCTGAAGAAAATAGAAAATGACTAATTCATATTTGGGATGATTAGCTCCTAAGAAAAAAGATTATTAAATTCGACTGTTTTCTGTGTTTCAAAGGGTACCTTAGATATTTTCGAGCATGGTATTGAAAGTTGGGAGCCCATATTTCCCTTTTTATGCTAAGATATTTGCATAGTCTTTTACTTTGACCTTAACTTAAGAACTGAAAAAAAACTTGGATGGGGGGAGAAGTAGGTCTGAGGCTATAAAGGGGCAGATATGCAGGATGAACAGTCCAGAGATCTAAGGGGCAATGTGAGGATTGTAAGTAAAGAAATTGTACTGTACCTGGGATTCGTGCTACATGAGTAGATTTTAGCTGTCTTTGCCAAAAAAACAATAAAAAGGTAACTGTGTGAGAAGATGAATCTATTAATTTGTTCACCATAGCAACCCTTTTGCTGTCTGTCTGTAGCCCATAACATCATGTCATGTGCCTTAAGTATACACAATGACATTTCTTTAAAAACAAAGCAAACTCTTACAATTCTTGATCCAGGGAAAAAAAGTATTTTTCTCAGGCTTTGAGAATAGAAGGTTAGAAGAAAATAATACTTACTAATTGGATCTATACACTTTTATCTTTGTGATAGCGAAAATAAGCTGTGAATTGAAAATAAACACATTTTAACTTCTCAAAATTAAATAACATTTTAACTCATTTATAAATGTATAAATATGCATTGTATGTTATTTGATGTTTAAAATGTAACTGTGGTTAGCAAGTAAAGTCTAATTCTGCCAAAAGTTGTGATAATTTCCTTTTACTTCAACATGTATATATTATTTTAGATTTTGTAAAAAAATGAGATTCTACAAACACAGATGCAGAATAAATTGCTCTATCTTTTCCTTTTCAAATGCTCTTCTCCCCTCCCGGCTGGGTTGGCTGTGGCTGTGCAGCTGGACCAGTTGGTCGGCCTGCTCCTGGTGCCTCTGTGGAGACCACAGTGCTCTGGATCCCCCACTGGCCCATTATTTGGCTTCCTAATTCATTTTTGGGCAGTGTTTGGGGGACAAAGGGAGGGCCTGTGTTCTCAAACTGGCTGTGTGTAGATTTTCCTGAGGGTAATGTGAATAGGAATTGGAAAGAGTAGGAAGAAAATTTACAGAGAAAGTAGTATTGGGCTGGAGGAGTTTTTTTTTTTTTGAGACAGAGCCTCAAGCTGTCCCCCTAGGTAGAGTGCAGTGGCATCATACCTCACAACAACCTCCAACTCCTGGGCTCAAGCGAGTCTCCTGCCTCCGCCTCCCAAGTAGCTGGGACCACAGGCGCCTGCCACAACGTCTGGCTATTTTTTTTTGGTTGTAGCCATCATTGTTTGGCCGGCCCCGGCTGGATTCGAACCCACCAGCTCAGGTGTATGTGGCTGGTGCTTTAGCCACTTGAGCCACAGGCGCCTAGCTGGGCTGGAGGAGTTGTAAACAGGGAGATAAGGGTGAGCTCAGCACTAATATTCAAGCTTTGAGTTTTGTTTTATAGTTTGAAAAGGTTAAGTAAAATTAGCACACCCCCTCCAACGCTTGCCACTGTACTTTTCTTTCCTTTTTTCTTTCTTTCTTTTTTTTTTTTTTTTTGAGACAGAGTCTTACTCTGTCACCCTGGGTAGAGGTCCATGGCATCATAGCTCAAACTCTTGGGCTGAAGCAATCCTTTTGCCTCAGTCTCCCGAGTAGTGGGGACTACAGGTCCTCAGGACAACACCTGGCTAGTTTTTCTTTTTTTAGTGGAGAAACGACTCGCTCTTGCTCAGGTTGGTCTTGAACTCCTGAGCTCAAGCAATCCACTTGTCAACCTCCCACAGTGCTAGGATTACAGGTGAGCTACTGAGCGCAACCTCCACTGTATTTCTTTTTTATAGGAGTGAATATAAAACAAAAATGTAGTTTTAAAAATAGTATGGTATTGTATCCCTAATAATTAAAAACTATATTAAGAAAAAATAGTATAAGATTACTGAAAATCTAGAAAGCAGAGAAAAGGTATCACCCATCATTTTCCTATTTGTTTGTTTTATGTGTTTTCAGTTAATGTATAAATAAATTTATCTCACTTCCTTTAACTTGCATCATATCCAAAGCATCTTAGTGTTTCTAACAGAGATTTGAAATGTGTTTATCACAATCTGTTTTTTAACTCTTTAAAAAAAATCCCAACATTTTCAAATGAGCGTTTGTTTATAAAATGTCTGCGGTAGGTTGCGACTCCTTCTGCAGTCTGCTGTGGACGCTAACATGAATACTCTCCGGGTGTGGGGAGGAGGAATTTATGAGCAGGATGAATTTTACCAACTCTGTGATGAACTAGGAATAATGGTGAGTAGTTGGCCTCCGGTGTTCTGAGTGGATGATGTTGCTCCTTCCTTCTTTTCTCTAAGCCGGGAATGATGTCCCATTTTTAGCTAAAGCCCTAAATGGCATCTTGTAAACCCAGAGCCGTCGTTGATAGCAATGACCCTAAATATTTAATTATTTTTAAATGATCAACATTCTACAGATGAGTTATATCTAGGTATATATCCACCTACATTTTCTTTACAGTTTTCTTTGAGTTATATAGGTCTGGATAAAAAAGAAGATAAAATATGGAGAAAAGAAATGTAACTAGAAGGAGCTCTGATAAAACCTAGAAAGAAGAGAAATAGTAAAATTGAGTAAAGAAACAGTGTGTTTAGTACTGTTACGTACTTGTGACATATTTTGCAATGCTGAGGATTAAGCAAAGGAGTGATATTTAGTTCTAATAGCATGATTCTAAAATATAAAGAAAGCCACGGAGGAGTAGTCATTATAATAATGGTAATACTGATGGTCATGATAATGATGACAGTATTCTAAATCTCTATCGTTCATTCAGTGCCAAGTGTAACTGCTCTGTCTATATAACTTTATGTTTATCTCCATGCCCATCTGATGAGGTAGTTACTGTGTCCTCTATCCCCATTGACAGATAAGGAAGCCGACACCAGGAGAGGTTCAATACCTTCTCTAAACTCACGCAGTCCCTACAAGGGGGACTCAAGATTGCAACCCAGGCAGGCTGCTTCAGAGTCTGTGTTCTTAATCACTGCATCACACAGCCTCGCTGCGAAGGCACTTTCACTAAAACATGCATGTAGTAATCCTTTTCTCCATGAAAATTTAATTTCTTTATAAATGAGTATGATTTTTAACGGTCTGGTCTATCTCTCCAGAGCAAATGCCCAGTAACAATTAGAATGAATTAGCAGTAAAGAGGGGCTGGAGAGCTTTATTTTGTTTTTCCTCCACCTGCTCACGTGTTGCTTTTTTTGAATTCTCCTTGCTTCCCTTTCTTTCCTACCCACCTAACATTGTCTCTTCTCCGGTTTGCACACGGTTTTGTGCGGTTCTGGGAAGTTCTGAGGTCTGGGAGAGCCTTTCCCTGGTACCTTTTTGCGTGGTGGTGCTAAAATGATTATACTCATCAAGCTGACCTGAGTTTTCACGAAAGACCTGGAGCTCAGAATGAAGATTTTCTTTCAGTGTAATAAAACTTACGGAAGTGCTCTCTTGCTTTTTATTTGATTTGATAGATATGGCAGGATTTTATGTTTGCCTGTGCCCTCTATCCAGTTGATCGAGACTTCATTGATTCTGTGAGAGCGGAAGTTGCTTACCAGGTATGTTGTTATTCCAAGAAGAAAAGAAAATGGGTATGTTTTAGTTTCACCTTTTGTTAAATCTCTCTGTATTTCTTTTTCATGTTCTCTAATATATTCCATGAAATATGGAATTACCCTGTGAGGTAATTGACACTGCAGGTCATGTGCTGACCACTCCCAGATTTATTTCCAGTTCTGACTTCTCTGCTGACTTCCTCCTTGTGATACCCAGCTGATACCTGGGGCCTCTGCTTGGAGGTTTAACGGACTTCTCAGATATCACAAGGAGAAACCAAACTTACATTACCTCCCCCGATCTTGTTCTTCCTGTTGTTTACTCCACCTCAGCAAGGGGCACCACCGCTCTTTGAATTTGTTCAGGACAAAAATTTAAATCGATTCTTGATTTCTTAATTTCTTGCACATTCCCCATGTTCACACTTGCAGTATTTATATTCACAAATATATAAATGCATGGAAGTGGAAAGGCCTGGGAATAATGGCCAACCTGGTAGTATCTTCATATTGAAATAATTTTTTCCATAAAGAGAAAAGCTTCTTAGAGCATGACTGATTTTAGTTTGGGGATGAGAATTATCCTAGATGATCCTGGGATATCTTTTTTTAAAAAAATGGTAATAGTATTTATTATAAAACCTAATAACTTGAGTCACAGATCTTATCAGCCCTCAACTGAATATGCTCACTGTTGCAGTGAGGTCTGTATACATATGGAGTGACTGTGCTTGGAAACACAGGTCGGGTGACATTACCTCTGCCCCAGATCTTAAGTGGATGGCATGGGTTTCCATGTAGAATCAGAGAGGCATTTTTGGCAATATAAGAAAATGCTGAAATGTACTCCTAAAATACAGTTTAGGAACCAAATTATGAATGCAGTAGGTATTATACGTTTAGCAAAATACTACTGAAACATTCACTGGGGTCATTCACCAGCATTCATGACGAATGATCCTGAGACTGGAAGACCATCCCTACCTTCTAGAGTTTGCCAGAGTATACAGAAATACTGAGCTGATTTTATATTGCTCTGCGACATGTCACAGGTGGGAACAGATTCATTTTCTTGGTAACTTCAGGTAGAGCCACTATGTGAAATCAGCCACTCTGTTTTCAGTTTCCCATGTCCAACTGTCTGATTTTTTGCAGTGTTTATTTACAAAAAGGGGAAGACTTTGGTTTCTTCTCGACTGATGAGTCTGCCACCTGAGACAGGTTACTTTACCTCTTGACCCCCATTCTCTTTATCTGTAAAACTGGTAAGATCTTATTCGTCTTGCAGAACTTTTGAAGATACACATGTATCAGGAAATGCATGTAAGCAATATAAAAGAAATGTGGAATAATACTAACTGTCCCATTAGTGCCACTAATGTGGCATGTCTTAAAAGTGAATCCTTATCTTTCACCCACTGTACTGTTCAAAAATTTTCATTTTGACTGGATATCTGAGCACCATCTTTGACATTTCTTGCTTTCTCATCTCCCATATCCAGTTGGTTTTAAAGTACAGCCAGTTTTTTGATACTGGTGTTTCTCATTCTTTGCTCTCACCTTTCCATCCCTGTTCTGACTACCCATGTCCAAATGCTCATTTTCTTCACCCTCCCCCCACCCCTGACCATTACATCTGTTTTCTAATTGACCTTCCTAGCATTGGTTTCTCCCAAGGTGAGTGCACACTCGACAGAGCTGTCAAAGTCATCTTCCCCGACACACTCTCTGTCATACCACACTCCTCTGCTGCAGCCCACATGCTAATGTGTCAGAAGGAAGGGACACATTTGAGTCTGTCCAGTGCATGACAGAACGGGATCCTTTTGCCTTTATGTTGGGCCAGTTCAGGTGGGCAGAGCTCATGTAGGCCTCACGTGGCCTGGTTTGCAGACTGAGTCTCTACTTTTTTCTTTTATATTTAGACATATTCAGTAACTTACATAATGTTAGCGGATTTCTCAGAATGACATTAGTAGTTTATTTCAGGAGACATGATTTTGATTTCTTTTTTTAAATTTTATTAAATCATAGCAGTATACATTAATACTATCATGGGGTACAGTGTACTTTTTCTGTATATAATTTGAAATACTTTCATCCAACTGGTTAACATAGCCTTCATGTCTTTTTCTTAGTTACTGTGTTAAGACATTTATATTCTACATTTAGAGAGATTCACAGGTAGCCTTATAGGATGAACAATAGCTCTACTTCATGAAATTATGAAAGAGAACTTTCCAGACATGCCAAGAGATTCTGAAATTCAGATAGCAGACAGTTTCCAGAACCCCAGCACGACTCAACCCGAACAACACATCCCCCAGGCACATCATAATTAACTTCACTAAAGTTAATATGAAAGAGAAAATTCTGAAAGCAGCTAGACGTAAGCAAACCATAACCTACAAGGGGAAGAATGTTAGAATGACTGCAGATCTCTTTGCCGAAATCTTTCAGGCTAGAAGAGGGTGGTCATCGACTTTTAACCTCTTAAAACAAAATAACTTTCAACCCAGGATCCTGTATCCAGCTAAACTGAGTTTCATTTATGATGGAGAAATTAAATACTTTAATGACATTCACACATTGAAGAAATTTGCTATAACTACACCATGGATTTTTATTTCTGTAACTTGTTTTCCTTGGAATATTCCACGTGTTTGCAGCTTGCAGCCACCTCTAGTCCACCCTTTCTCTGTAAACCCTTCTCTTGTTCTCCTTCTGGTTTTTTGATCTCAGTGGCGAGTGCATGGGAACCTCAGTCCCTCTTCCAGTGGGAGTATTTGCTCTGCCTCATTTGTTTCTTCCCACTAAACTTCAACTTCCTCTTGTGAACTAACCCCTGAATGTCTCCTGCCTTCTGTATTTCTTGTAATCTCTTTGTGGTGATTCAGATAGTGATGAGGTTGGTTTCTTTTTCTTTTTTTCTTTTTTAATAAAATGGGATTATATTTTCTTCATTTTTTTTTAAATACAGCAACGAAGAGAATTCCTATCTTTTTGGTGTTTATAAAATCTAGTTACAAACAATCTTGGAGAATTCTTACAATATATTCCCACAGCTAACATGACTAGCCATTTTGAAATGAGTTTTGGGACACATAAGAATTTCTGAATAGTTAACTTGAGTTTTGTTAAGTATTTGAAAAGCATTTTATGTTTTTGGAAATTTCAGATCAGGAGACTGAAATCTCATCCCTCTATCATCATATGGAGTGGCAATAATGAAAACGAAGCAGCTCTAATGACAAACTGGTATCATATCAGTCCTGTCGACCTACACACCTACATTAATGACTATGTGACACTTTATGTGAAAAACATCAGAGAGATGGTCTTGGCAGTAAGTAATAGTATTTAAATGCAGTAGAATTTAAGAGCGTGCTTTTAAAATGGGGAGTATGAATTTTGGTGTGTTTTATGCCCCTTGTTAGGGCAGTCTTCAGCCGTGTGACTTGAATACACAGCATGACATTGTCATGCCGCGTGTGAGAGGCTTCATGGCCTGTGGACTCCTTTGAGGACCACCCTCCCTCTGGCACTCTCCTCTCTCCAGTATTGGCCTTCTAGTTGCCAATACTTGAAGTCCAGCTATGGATCCCAAAGGTTGAGACTCTAGATTAGATAGTTTATTGCTAGCTACTTCTTCAATTCTGTAATTGTAAATGATGATGCAGAATTTGATCTATATCAAATATGAATATGTTGGTACATGACGTTAGGGGCCAGGGAGGAGAAAGACCTGATTCCCAGCTCCACCTTAGTGTTCTTCCTCTGTGTTGGTTTCCTTTGTGCCACTATTTGTCTAATAAGCATGTTAATCAGACATAGATTCATATAAATTGGCCTTTTTTTGTAAGGATAAGTAGGATTATCTTTTCAGTAATGCTTTTAAAAAATGTAATTGTTAGAAAACTTTAACATGTTATTTATTAATCTGGTTGCTTTTACAATTTTGTATTCATAATTAAATATTTTAAATATCTGGATATATCTGGAAGCAATTTGAAAAGGGGTATCTATTTTAAAATAGTATTTGATAGTAACACCTCAGTGCGCCCAGTTAATGACACTATTCTATTTATGAGAAGAAAACTTCACTGAGAAAAACATAGGTTCAGACTTATGGCTTGCCTATTATACTAAGTCAGGTGTCATGAAGAATTTTTCTGTTTACAAAATGTGATGGCAAAAGCTTTAATCAATACTTGTAGAACATTATAATCAGTATTATAATTTTCATATCTGATGGATTTAAGAAATGAATTTTAGTATCTGAGGCTTTTAATTTCATAGCATGGTGGTTAAGTGCTCATGACTCAAACTCCTGGCTGGACCACTTCCTTTATAATCTTGGGCAAACTACCTAAGCTCCATTTTCTCATCTATAAAATTGGGTTAACAATAGAAACTAACTTTCAAGAGTTGTTATGTGCTCAGTGGGTCACACCTGTAACCCTAACCCTCCGGAGGCTGAAATGGGAAGATCTCTTGTGCTCAGGAGTCTGAAACCAGCCTGGGTAAGAGTAAGACCCCATCTCTCCTAAAAATAGAAAAATTAGTAGGGGATGGTGGTACATTCCTGTAGTCCTACTGCTCATGAAGCCGAGGCAGAGGATCATTTGAACCTAGGAGTTTAAGGTTACTGTAAGCTGTGGTGATGTCACTGCACTCCAGCCCAGGCAACAGAGTGAGACACCCCTAAACCAACAACAACAACAATGAGGGGAGTCCTATGGAGGCTGAAGGAAAAGGGCAATGGAGAGTTTTTTTTTAAAGACCGGAAGGTAATTTATTGGCTGTAGGAGCAAAGTGAAGCCAAAAGATGACCAGAAGACAGACTGGCTGGCAAAGGAAAGGAAGAAAGAAGGATTTATTTTCTTTGTTTTTTTTTTTTTTAGGAAGAAGGATTTATTTTCTATGACAGATGAGAAACAAGGAAAAAACTATGAGCGGATATATCAAGAAAAAGTGAAACCTAATGGGGAAAAGTTGAGAAAATTATTTTGTGGAGGGTCTGTTTCTCAGAGAAGGCTAACTAGCCTTCTGCAATATGTTTTCCATTCCCAAAGGGCCCTTTACTTTTCCTTAAAAATATTCATCACACTTCTAATTACTTGCTCAGTGTCTGCTTTCACGGCTGGATTGCAGTCTGTTCTTTTAAGAGGTCGGTCACAGTGTCTGTTCCCTGCTGAACCGCCAGGACATAGGAGGAATTGAGTGCCAGGCATACAGTAAGCTCTCAAAAGAGACTGGATGTGTGATGGAGTGCTTGGTGAAGTCACACATCCACTTCTCTCTCCCTCTCTGCAGTGATGAACAATGCCCGGACACAATGAACATTCGACACATTCTTGCTAAAGGAAGGAATCTTCTCAGTGAAACAGGAAGGGAGCTCATCTTAGATGAGAATAACTCCACCATTTTGAGTTCTACCTGTGCGTGAGGCACTACATTAAAGACTTACGTGCTAGCTGCTGCAACAAGTAAACCACGGCATTTCTGTGGCCGGGAAACCACTGCGTAGGGGCAGCTCTGTATTATGGAAATTGGAACGTAAACGTTGGTTTGACACTCAGTCATCTCTTCCACGTCTGAGTTATTGCTATTTACGGTACCTCTCTGAAGAAGTTACTGTTATTATACATTTTACAGATAAGACTGCTGAGAATTATTATATCTAAATAATAAGGTTCTGACTTGGGATTTAAACTCAGGCCCACATGACTCAGTAGCTTCTGTTCTTATGCACTAGACCTCTCAAGTGGTGGTGATTTTGCCCCCAGGGAACATTTGATCGTGCCTGTTAGACATTTTTCAGGTGATGAGACTACTGGCATCTAGTGGGTAGAGCCCAGGGATGCTACTACATATCTTAGGATGCATTAGACCACCACCACCACCAAAACATATCCAGCTCCAAATGTCAATGAGGCCAAATGTGGAAACCCAGGACCAGACTGGACACTACCCATAATGGATGAGAGTGGAGGCAAATAGGAACAGCTGATGTGAGGGCTGAGCTAGGGCTTCATTAGGATATAAAGGATGATGAAGAGCTGGAGGTGCTGGTGATTGTTGAACAGAGATAGAAGTAAATAGTCCTATTAATTTTCCAGCAACTTGGAAATGTTGAGGCCTTGTTAGTACTATTTTTTTTTTTTTTTTGAGACAGAGTCTCACTTTGTTGCCCTTGGTGGAGTGTCTTGGCGTCATAGCTCACAGCAACCTCAAACTCTTGGGTTCAAGTGATTCTCTTGCCTCAGCCTCTGGAACAGCTGGGACTACAGATGCCCACCACTGTACCCAGCTATTTTTAGAGATGAGGTCTCACTCTGGCTCAGGCTGGTCTCAAACCAGTGAGCTCAGGCAATCCACCCACCTTGGCCTCCCAGACTGCTAGGATTACAGGCGTGAGCCGCTGTGCCCAGCCTCTTTGTTAGTACTTTTAAAAAAGATCCGTACTTTCTTGCATGAAAATATTATCTGCTAACTCATTTTATCTCTGAATTCAGGGAGATAAGAGTCGTCCTTTTATTATATCCAGTCCTACCAATGGGGTTGAAACCATCGCAGAAGGCTGGGTGTCTCACGACCCTTACAGCAATTACTTTGGAGACGTACATTTTTATGACTATTTCAGTGATTGCTGGGATTGGAAAGTTTTCCCCAAAGCTCGATTTGCATCTGAATATGGGTATCAGTCCTGGCCTTCCTTCAGCACGTTAGAAAAGGTAAGCGATTATTTGATTTTCCAGGGATTGAGGATGATAACCTGTGGGCATCTGTTACTTCTGACCAGTGGTTCAAAAAGTCAGATGACGTTTACTTATTTAAATGAAAATGTGAGAAGAAGGTAAAAGAAAAGAACTTTTTCTTTAAACTTCGGGAAGCTAAGTTCTTGTAATCGTTATTTGGGGGATTATAACTTTCCTATATTGCTTTTAATTACATTCCTTCAGGAATATTTAAAAATTAAGCGAGAGGAAGTAGTAGCTTAAGCCTGACCTATTGTCACTCATGATAATAGCTCTTCCTTGCTGCTTTTTGTGTATCTTGCCACTGTCTCACTATTTATGGATATTCTGAAGGGGGCATTTCACTACAGTAAGAGAGAAATAAATCTTTGTCTCATGTGTTCTCTTTCCTTTCCTTTTCCTCTTCCCCTTTCTCCGTCTACTTCTCCTCCTCTTTCTTCTGGTATTTTTAATTTTCTGTGTGGATTTTTACTCTTTCCATTCCTAAAGATTCTGTTTCAGTATTGTGTGTGTGCTCATAGAGAGACTTACTGGGATGTGATTCGTTTGCCCTGCAGTGCACCCATGTTGTGTGTGTAACTCAGTGATCTTCGTATCTTCCACATTGTTCAGCCTTCACCACAGTCCGTTTTTAGAGCATTTTTATCACACCTGAGAGACCCCGACCTCGTAAGCAGCCTCTCCCTGCTCTCTCCATCCCTTGTACTCCAGCCCCTGGCTCCACTAATTCGCTTCCTGTGTCTATAGATCTGCCTGTCGTACACCTGTCTTAATGACGGGAATACTACCAGATGTGGCCTGTTGAGACTGGCTTCTTGGACTCAGGGGGTTTTCAAAGTTCACCTGTGTTGTACTACGTGTTACTAAACCATTCCTTTTTATTGCCGAATAATATTCTCTTGCATGGGTATACATTTTGTTTATCCATTTATCAGTTGATGGACATTTGTGTATTTCTGCTTTTTGACTATTATGAGTAATGATGCTGTGAACATTTGTGTGTTATGTGTTTGTGTCAACATACGTTTTCCATTATATACCTGGGAGCAGAATTGCTGGGTCACATGGTAACTCTGTGTTTAACATTCTGAGGAACTAGTAAATTGTTTTCTGCAAGGCAGTGCTTGTGGCTCAGTGAGTAGGGTGCCGACCCCATATACTGGAGGTGGTGGGTTCAAACCCAGCCCTAGCCAAACTGCAACAAAAAAATAGCCAGGCGTTGTAGTGGGCGCCTGTAGTTCCAGCTACTCTGGAGGCTGAGGTAAGAGAATTGCCTAAGCCCAGGAGTTGGAGGTTGCTGTGAGCTGTGACACCATAGCACTCTAGTGAGGGCGACACAGTGAGACTCAAAAAAAACAAATTGTTTTCTGCAGTGATGGCACTATTTTACATTCCTGCTGGCAATGTCTGAGGGTTCCAATTTGTCTACCATCCTTTCCAAACATAAGGAAACTATTGCAGAAGGCTGGGTGTCTCGCAACCCTTATAGCAATTATTTTGGAGACGTACATTTTTATGACTATTTCAGTGTTTTCCATTTTTTAAATATTTCCCTGGGAATTTACAATTCCTTGATGGCTAACCACATTGAGCGTGTTCTATGTGCTTGTTGGTCATTCGTTTGTCTTCCTTTGGGAAATGTCTATTCAAATTCATTGCCCATGTTTAAATGGAGTTATTTATCTTTTTGTCATGGAGTTGTAAGGTTTTAATATATTCTGGATGTAAGACTTCATCAGATATATGCTGTGCAAATCTTTTCTCCCCATCTGTGGGTCATTTTGTTCACTGATGGTATCCTCTACAGCACACAAAAAAGTTTAATTTTGGGGCGGCACCTGTGGCTCAAAGGAGTAGGGCACCAGCCCCATATGCTAGAGGTGACGGGTTCAAACCCAGCCCCAGCCAAAAACTGAAAAAAAAAAAAATTAATTTTGATGAAGTTCTACTGAGAAAATCTCTCATTTCTTTTGTTTTTGGTATTGTTTCTAAGAAATTATTGCCTAACTCCAAATGACGAAGGAGTTGTCTTATAAGAATTTTATACTTTTAGCTCTCATATTTAGGTTTATGAGTCATTTTGAGTTATTTTGGTGTGCAGCGCTTGAGGTAAGAGTCCAGCTTCACTCTTTTCGTCTGTGGATACCCAGTTGTGCCAATATAATAGTGAAAAGTATTGAAGTCCCTATTCCTTCTCTCATTGAATTTTTTTGTTCCCCAAATCAATTGACCATAGAAGTTAGGGTTTATTTCTGCATTCTTAATTCTGTTGGGTGGCGTATTTTATGCTACTACGCACTATCTTGTGTACTGTAGCTTTGTAGGAAGTTTTGAAATCAGGATGTGTGTCTGTGTGTGAGTCCACCAACTCTGTTCTTCTTTTCAGGATTGTTTTGATTAGTCTGGGTACCTTGTAGTTCCAAATGAGTTTTGGAATCAGCTGACCAGTTTCTGCAAAAAAGCTAGCTGGGATAGAGATGGTTTAATTTGTAGATCAGGTTGTGGGTACTGGCTGTTTAATAAGATGGTCTTCTCACCGATGAACATGGGATGTCTTCTGTAGTTTCTTTCACCCCCATTTTATAGGTTACAGTGTTTTTTAGCATTCTCCTAAGTGTTTTGTTCTTTTTGCTTCTACTGTGAAGGGAACTATTTTCTTAATTTCATTTTCATATTGTTCATTGCTAATTAGAAAACCAGAATTGATTTTTATATGTATATTGAGCTTGTATCCTGCAAAGTGGCTAAACTCAATTCTTAGCTCTCACAGTATTTTTTTTTGGGGGGGGGTTCTTTAGGGTTTTCTTTATGTAAGATTATGTCATCTGCAGACAGAGATAGGTTTACTTCCTGCTATCTAATCTAGACGTCGTTTATTTCATTTTCTTCCCTAACTGCCCTGGCAGGACCCTTCAGTATAATGTAGAAAAGAAGTGATGAGAAAAGACATCCTTAACTTGTTCTTTTTCTTAGAGAGAAAGCTTTTAGTTTTTTTAATATTTAGTGTGAACAATAGGTTTGTAGTTATAGTGTGCTAACTACAGGTTTTTTTGTAGATGCCCTTTATAAGGTTAAGGAAATGGCCTTTATTTCTAGATTGCTGGATGCTTCTATCATAAAAGAATGTTAGACTTTCTTCCCATAATGAAATGATTTATTTGCAGTTGTGCATCACTGTGTAAAGTAACAAATAAAAAAATTTTTTTAAAGACAATTTACTAATCTTCCTTAATTTTAACACCTACACAAAACTACTTTTGCTTCTACACACTGAAGTTATAGTGTACTTTTAACTTCAGTCAGTCATGTCATAGTTCTACCCTTTGTTTTTAAAATTTAATTTTTTTATATGATGGACAAATACAGTCATGTATTTATCATGTACAATATGCTGTTTTGAAACATGTAAGCACTGTGGAACGCCCATACCACTTTTTTGTTTTATTGCTCTGAAATAATGGGGCTAATGTTTTAGAAATTCTGTTTTTTCAAGATGAAGGAAGATGAAGTTCAGTATTCTGACTCAGGTAGGAACAGGTGTTGAGAATGGGGAGGGAGGACGTGAGACTATTTGCTGAGCCGTTGCTCTGTACCAGGTCCCTGTTCCTTTATTTAATGATAATCCACCTTTCCACCTTTTTTTTTTTTGCCAGGGCTGGGTTTGAACCCACCACCTCCGGCATATGGGGCCGGCACCTTACTCCTTTGAGCCACAGGCGCCGCCCCACCATTCCACTTTGACTGAGGCCTGGGAGGAAACTGAAGCATTGAGGGAGTAAGCTCTGTCCTTGGCCCTCGGCTAATGCAGAACATATTTGGATTTAAACCTAACGACCCCCAAACTAGTCAATTTTCTTTTCACTATACTTTAGAGAGCTCGGTGTTAGTAATTGCTCACCCTTTTCTTTAAATCTATAAACATTTCTATTCACATTTTTAAAATAATGGGCCTTCCATGATTTTGTGAAATGCCTGATGAGGTTCAGGGGTACTAAACACTATATTTTAAAGGAGAAGGAGGGGCAGGAAGAGTGCTGCTTTTTATGATCCATCTATTATCTCTTGATTTAATCACCTCTCTTAAAGCTCCACTGCTTACTTGGGAATTTGAATAGGTAATTAGGAAATAAAAGAAACCGAAAAATGATGTTACATAAAATTTTAACTTTTTTATTTAGAAGTTTTTTGCAGCCCGGACCCACCAAACAACAATGGCTGCAACCAAAAAAAAAAAAATAGCCGGGCGTTGTG